AATACGTCTCCTTCAGATCCATTTCGTTCGTAAGTCAAATTTCCCAGAATTGTTTCAAGTTCATTGCTTTAGTCGTTTTCTTTATTCTGGCGATTTTCAGCAAACAGAATTCAATTTCTGATTCAAGCATCGATTTTTTTTTTTTATGGGTTGCGTGTTCTTGAAACTCGATAGTGGTTCCTTATCGGCTTAGTTTTCTTGGAATTATTTTGTGGGGATTGGTTGTCTTTGTCTTCTGTGAAAGTTTTTGAAATGGACGGAAACAAAGACGATGCTTTGAAATGCTTCAAAATTGGGAAAGAAGCTTTGGAAGCTGGGGATCGAACCCGTGCCCTAAAATTCCTAACTAAAGCTCGACGTCTCGATCCGACGCTACCCATCGACGATCTCTTATCGTCGATTGAGGGCAATTCCAATCCTCAGTCCGGTTCAGATGCTGGCGGGTCTGCCAATGGGCCATCTGGGTCGGCTTCAGCTAAGCCGTCCGATCAACCCTCGCTTCGCCAAAGAGTTCCGTCGACTGATGGATCTTCATCCTCTAAAGTATCACCAGCTGCTGCGTACACAGAGGAGCAGATTGCGATTGTGAGGCAACTGAAGAAGAAGAAGGATTACTATGAGATTTTGGGGGTGGAAAAGAGCTGCACTGTTGAAGATGTTCGAAAGGCTTATAGAAAACTGTCTTTGAAGGTTCACCCGGATAAGAACAAGGCGCCGGGAGCTGAGGAAGCGTTTAAGGCTGTGTCGAAGGCGTTTCAGTGTCTTAGCAATCAAGAGAGTAGGAAAAAATATGATGTTATGGGCTCGGATGAGCCAGTTTACGAGAGACGTGCTTCCAGCCATGCAGCACATGGATTTAATGGTTTTTATGATGGGGATGTTGATGCTGAGGAGATCTTTAGGAACTTCTTCTTTGGAGGAATGGCACCGGCAACCCAGTTCCGTGGATTCAGTTTTGGGCATGGCGGAATGGGACAGAGGGCTGGTGGTGATCATGGTTCTGGCGGGTCCCATATTCGGACTCTAATTCAGTTGTTGCCTGTGTTGCTTATTCTGCTTGTCAACTTTATGCCATCTTCGGAGCCTATCTATGCCCTTTCCAGGTCCTATCCCTATGAATACCGCTTTACTACGGAAAAGGGTGTTAATTTTTATGTTAGGTCAACCAAGTTTGAGCAAGATTTCCCGCCAGGTAGCTCGGAGCGTGTCACGCTAGAGCAACGCGTTGAGAGAGAATACTTCAATATTCTTTCCCAGAACTGTCGGCTTGAGCTGCAGCGCCGCCAGTGGGGATTTATTCGTGAAACACCACATTGTGACATGTTGCAACGGTTTGAGACGGCAGCTTAATGTGTCTCATTTATCCTGGTATATTTTCTTTTAGATGGTGTACAATTATGCCTATTCTGGATAAAACTAGTGAGGAAATGTGCAATTAGTGATTCTTTGCTGCTTCTTTTTCTTTCGCACAAGCTAATGTTGTATGTGTGATCAGGTTACGGATATACATCTGTTGCTCCAGCTATAAACTATCGTAGATATGATCCCTTGCTAAAGTAATTTGTATATATGCACTTGAAAATGGTGCGGTGGGCGTACATATTTTTGTGAAAATTTGGAGTCTGACTTTTGAGAGATATGATAGTTAAGGTTCTGAAAGGTTGAACCAGCATATAAAGCCATCTCATATGCATGGTGTTCTCATGAATTCTTGTATTATGTCTGATTGCAGAACCTTTTTTACCTCAATTCTTCTTTCGTTAATGTACTGCTGCACTTGACGACAAGAGGATTCGTTTGCTAGTTTGATGGAACTATATGTTTGCTTATCTATGGTTTCAACTATAGAACTTTGAAACAAAAATGATTGTTTTCATTTTCTTTCTTCAAAATATTCCATGTTACCCCTGTCTGAATAGCATCACATATGCACATGATTGAAAGAAAGATTTGCATAATGTTCTGCGAAACCAATCTAGTGTTATCATGTTCCTGCAGCTGCGATGTTTGTGTTGACTTTTTTTTATTTTTTTTATTTTTATAAATGTAATATTGTTGTGCTTTGGCTTTTACATGATGGAATTTAAATGCCCCTTGTTTTCGAAATTGTAACAAAGTGCTTTACATTCTTGTTTTTTCATGCAGACTACATGTTAGGTGCCAGTCTTTCAGTTTTCCTGTTGTGGACGGTGCATGGAGCACAATCGAGGGAAGGATCATAGCTGCAAATTTTGAAGTTCTACTTATTAAAACTTGACAGTGTCCGCCGCCTGCACACATTTTCTGTTCTTTAGTCTTATATATGCACAATGACTTTGTATAAAATTGTCTGTGATTTAATTAATGTTTCCATGCATGCATTATCACGGATGCAACGAGCTAGTATGTAAGCTTTGCTATTGTTAATGTTACATATCATGTTCAACATAATTTTTCCTGTGCTGGTGTATGCGCCGAGGGAGTTTTGTGGCACTGGCATGGCATCTAAGTTTAAGTGATCCAGATTACATCCATTTGTAAAGTCTACATAAAATGTTGTGGATTAGACATGCACGGTTCAAGGAGCCATATATACACTTGAGATGTGATTTTTACCATAAATAAAGGAAAAATGATTTCTGTATTGACAAATTGTGCTACACGAGTGTAGAAGAATGGCATTATTGCTAATCTTCGTTTCTTTTACCTTTCTTCTTTCATTAGTATAATGAACCAGTTGATTGTGCCATTGATTGCGACATTGATAAATGGCCTGATACTTTTCTACTTTCATTAGTCTTCATATTTTCTTTATCCTTCAAAATAAGGATGAATTATTGATGCTGATGCCTTGCTACAATATGGCAGGAGGTAAGGAAAAACAAAAATCACAACTGGCTTCTCTCTCTCTCTTCCCCTGCTTCAGAAAAGAAATGTGTCACTACACTGGTATCCCTAATCCTTCGACGTTATGACCAGCAATCCCAGCGCCCCTATCAGAATGTACTGCAAGAACAAAAACACCTTGTTAATTTCGTTAAGTCCCAAGCCTCAGCTCTAGGCTGTAGATACTTAGGCATATTGTAGGGGGCAAAAACCCTTTAAAAAATTCGATTGTTTTTTTCTCCTCTGTTTTTCTGAGATTCATAGGATTTATGGGCATGTGAGTTACACGTAGAAGAGCCTTCTAATATGAAGAATGTCAAAAATTTATTTGTAACTGACTAATGCACGATTAGAAACAAATCTGAAGAATGTCTTCAACTTTAGGATGCTATAGATATACACACAGCATGGTCTAAAATCCAATAAAAGCAAACCTTGATTATAGGCCTCTCTGTCATGATAATTGTCACCCATCCAACATAAGGCAAAAACCTGCAGAGGAACGAAATAGAAATAGAAATACAAATCAAAAGGCACTCTTTCAGCATGTATGAAAGTAGACGATACATATATATATTGACAAATACATATGTATATATGGATCCAGGCTCGATATTATGATTAGGCAAAGAGGCAGAAATAGCCCACAATCGTCCCAGGTAGAACCCAACTTTCATAGAAACAATTAATTTTACATACATCAACCCATTAAACTAGATAGCTTCATGCGGAAAATAATGCAGAATCAACTATGGTAAAGCAGCCTTATATTAGTTTGTATGTGACTTCGGTGCATCAAATGTTCAAAACATAACCAGAACAATTCTGATTGTTTGAAAAAGTCAAATCTCTACATTAGTATTTGGTAGTTGTCAATTTACCTAACAGATATAAACAAATTACCCAACAGCTCAAAGAAAATGATAAATATAAGAAAATAATACCCAACAGCTCTTCCCATGATATGGCGTCGTTGCAACCAATGCTGGCCCCGAGCATACAAGGCCCTGTCATCCTTGTCGTTATTGTCTCCTGCAAAAAAAAACACGAAGACTACAGTTACTAAAATCATACATTATAAAATGATTTTCAGAATCTGAAATACTGAAACATATTTAAATCCTCAAACTTTTCCCAAATTACTATGTCATCATCTAATGACTTAAAGATTTTTTTTTTTCAAGTTTCTTCTTTTATAAATTATAAGAAGAGATGACCAGCAAAGAATTTGTATAATTGACAGGAATACAAAGATTTAAATGGTCTAATCGATCTGCCTAGAAAAGAAAATAGTACCTTTTGTGAGGACATAAACTTCTCCAGTATCTTTCTGCTCATGAACCTAACAGAAAATGGTCATCAACATTAAACAGATTCATCTAAGCTGAAGGGAGGTGCTATGATGTCACAGGGTCACCCTTTTGCTCAGATGGTTAAATCATGATTCTTACCTTAATTACTCTATGAACGATTGGAATGTCACGTCCCTAGACAAAGCAAAAAATATATATTAGCAGAAGTACAACTACAAGTCTAAAAACACAATAAATTGCATGCATAGGCCAGTAGTATGACCCAAAAGAAAATTTTGTAATTATCATCAGTTATGAAAGCAACACAATAATGAGAAACCAAATGTCATAGCTAAGATATTGCCGAGTGCCAAATCTTCTCTTTCAAATCATGTACTCTATACTGATGAACCAAAAGGGCACCCAACCTCCAGCAGTGAAAGCTAATCATGCAATGCTTGTCTCATAAAATTCAGATTAAATGAAGTATAATAAACATACGATAAACGCCAAAACATGCTAGATGATGCTCATAAATGGATTAAACAAATAAGAAAAAGTTTAAATGAATGAACTTAAGGAGGAATAGCATAAAAAGGGCATACATCCACATTAAACACCACAATTTCTCCTGCCCGAATAGGATCCTCGTTCATATGCAAGAACAAAATGTCACCCTGAAAGACATCATTATGTCAACAAACAAATGAAAAAGAGCAAAAGAAAGCACATATTTTTATTCATGTTTAATGGTAAAATGAGATGCCAAAATTTGAACGAAAAGCAAAGATGAGTGTCTGTAACAGTGAAGCACTTCACGATGTAAACAAAAGCCGCCCCCCCACGGCATAACTTTGTAGAACCGCAGGTGATAATACGGTAAAGTGGTTTTAAACAAAATATTGATAGGTAGACCAATAACCTATAAGATGCTATTGGGCTACACAACAGCGGATAGCCTTTCCCTTCTCAAATCTCTCATCTTCCATGATGTGGACCCAAGACCTACTTTTAAAGGAAGAGATGCACAAATGGCAACAAGGACCATTCATAAACATTTCTTTAACTGAAAGAATACGATGCAACTAGAATAATGGTGGTTTATTAAACATCTGAATTTTGGAATAACCTAGAATCTAGAAACATGCTTTTCTGAACGAAAATAATCAGCACCTGAATCTCTAGGTATAGACCACTATATTAACGCATTGGTATATATACCATTTGACAAAATCTTGTATACAGCTATTTCAGAAAACTGAAAAATATTTAACCACTCAACTCTTACAGTCAGAAACACCAACGATCACCAAGACACCAATTGCCAACTACTTTTAAAACACAATAATTGCTCAAACCAAGTACAATGCATAGTCCGCATCCCAAACTTAAATTCAGGCCCTTCACTTTTGTTTTAGCTTGAAACATGCTTTTAAGTTCAAGCGACTCTTTTGGATTAGACAACACAGTCCTAGACACATAAACAACTCTTGGGTACAATTCTTCTGCAAGAGAAGTAAGTTTTAAAAGGGAATTGAACTCACCCTTGCAAAGCCAGGCTCCATGCTTTCAGAGAGCACAACCACCACAGGTGATTCGCTCCCAGTCATACATATTAACCCTTTCCATATAATCAATGCCGACGTGACAATCAAGCCTGCACCATATATCAAACACCTAAGCTGCAATCTTATTCTTTTTCTTGTAAGTTAATTGAAACAAATAGAAAAGCTTTTGTGCAGTGAAACAAAAAAATACATGGGTTCGGGGTTGTACAGACCGAGAGTGAGGGCTTGGGAGAGAGCTTGTCTGATCTGAATGGACTTTACGGAGTCCATGGTCTCCCCGAACCATCCCATTAGAGCTTACGGGTTGTAGTTGTAAAATGCTGTGGTCGTCTGGTTTTTGCAGAACTATAATTTGGCGGTGGCGGTGGTGCAGTGATTGCAGAACTAGTCTGTAATTGCAAAAGAAAATAGGATTTCGCGGTGAATGTTTGATGATCTTTGATTTTAACCCGGGGGATCTGACAATAAGAGAGAGAGAGTGCCGCGTTGAAACAACAATTTGTCACCCGTCAAATTATATGTCGCCAACTGGACAGCCACAGCCACTTAAGGATGAGCACCATCCGTATGGTTCCATTTAGAAAGGTGCAAGTGTGCAGAAAATACTCTCAAATTGATAACTAAATTGAACATATTTTCAAATCGTAATCAACCAAATAATATTGGTTTGGCTCGGTTCAATTTACTGTAATTTTGATTTGGGTTGTTCGGTTGCTTGTACAGGTGCAAGTTGGATTGAAAAATCCGATTCCAAGCTATTAAGTTACAAAATTTTCCGATTTTGGCAAGTCCAAATCAATTATGACATCTAAAATTTGAAAATTCCGATAAAAATTGGATTGGAATTGGAATGTATCTAGAGGTTCCCAAAATTTTCAAATTTCATGTTCAACTAAATATAATTTGATGACCAAATAGACATAAACAAGTTATTCCCTAAAGGATAACAACCTCTAAGTACAAGCATATAATAGTTTTCCAAGCTTATAGTTTGTACTTCCAACAACAACAACAAAAAGCTTATAGAATGAATTTTCAATTTTGAGTCAAATTTAATTCTTCAAATGGTTGGGCATGTTAATAATTTGTAGCTAGTTTCGAGAAATTTCAACAACAAAAACGGAATATGTAAGTTCCAAAAGTTTCCAAAAATTTTGAGTTTTCCGAATTAGAATGGAAATTGAAATTCCTAATTTATTTATTTTTGGAACATAACTGGAATAGAATTTTCATTCTGAATATGTTTGGATTAGAATTGAAATCCCCTTATTATGATCTGATTTGTCCAAAAATCATGCCTAGTTGCTTGGTTTCATCAACCTCATAGTAACATAAATATTTCAAGTTCCAATAGAAATGTGACATGTTTAGTAAAAAGTAATTGTGCATTGAATTATAATAATTGATTTGGTTCGGCACTACTCAACTTACAATTTTATCGGCATTTTGTGTTGATTTTCGAACTAAAATGAACCGTCAGTTTGAAAAAGATTGATATTTGATTTTCTAACTCAAATGTTGACCCCCTACGTCACCTATTTGGACATCAAGTTTAATATACTCACATAGGAGACGAGACCCTTTTCAATATGAGTCACATTGAGTCTCCCCCCTTGTGAGAGTGGGAGCATAATCTCCCAAAAATTTATTATGAATTAGAAGCATGGTGATTTGTTACTACAATTTAAATTAGGACGAAACTCAATAAAGTTTTATAAACTTTCCAAATATCATTTGGAAACAATAATCTCTAAAATATGGGAACTACATTTTGAGTTCCTTCCACCAAAAATACAAGAGTACGCGGAATATAAGAGTTTAATTTCGTACTCATTCTTAAACTCTTACCTTCTGTTTAGATGAGGAAAAATAACTCGAAATTTAGCTAAAAGTCGAGA